GCCTGTAATCCCAGCTATTCTGGAGGCTGAGGCAGGAGAATCGCTTGAACCCGGGAGATGGAGGTTGCAGTGAGCCCAGATCGCGCCATTGCACTCCAGCCTGGGCGACAAGAACGAAACTCCGTCTCAAAAAAGAAAAAAAAAGAGACATGGAGAAGAGAGAGAGGCACAGGAGCGCAGGCCTGGGGAAGCAGCTGCCACCACAGATGTCCCAGTCATCAGGATGCCCAGAAAAAAGGAAACCCCCAGGGGCAGGCTGGACAGGCTCGGGGATCCCCACTCCCACTCCCACCTCCCCTCTGTTTGCTGGAAAATGCCAAGAAACTCCTGGGGATTTCGAGGGATTTGCCAAGGGGCAGGGAGAGGTTGGGGGGAGGGGCTCCCACCATGGCCAGGCTTAGGATTTAGGAGAGTATCTTTTTTTTTTTCTTTTTTCCCGTTTTTAGAGGCAGGGTCCTGCCCTGTCACCCAGGCTGGGGTGCAGTAGTGCGATCATGGCTCACTGCAGCCTCTTAACTGCTGGGCTCAAGCAATCCTCCCTGCTCAGCCTCCTAAGTAGCTGGCACCACAGGTGCACACCATCATTCCCAGCTAATTCTTGTATTTTTGATAGGGATGGAGTTTCCCCATGTTGCCCAGGCTGGTCTTCAACTCCTGGGCTCAAACAATCCTCCACCTTGGTCTCCCAAAGTGCTGGGATTACAGGCATGAGCCACCGCACCCAGCCAATCCTGCCTTTCTTTGACATTTCCATACTTAGTTCATCATGCACTTTTTTTGCTCCCATTTTGCCTTTTTGAAATATTGCATTAAGATGGAGTTTATCCAAAGGCCGGGCACAGTGGCTCATACCTGTCATCCCAGCACATTGGGGGGCCGAGGCAGGTGGATCACCTGAAGTCAGGAGTTCGAGACCAGCCTGGCCAACGTGGTGAAGCCCCGTCTCTACTAAAAATATAAAAACGAGCCAGGCGTAATGGTGTGTGCCTTGTAATTCCAGCTACTGGGGAGACTGAGGCAAGAGAATCACCTGAACCCAGGAGGCAGAGGTTGCAGTGAGCCGAGATCACGCCACTGCATTCCAGCCTGGGGACAAGAATGAAACTCCGTCTCAAAAAAAAAAGAAAAAATACAAAAATTAGCCAGGCATGGTGGCAGGCGCCTGTAATCCCAGCTACTTGGGAGGCTGAGGCAGGAGAATAACGCGAACCCGGGAGGCGGAGGTTACAGTGACTTGAGATCGCTCCACTGCACTCCAGACTGGGTGACAGAGGGAGACTCCACATAAAAAAAAAAAAAAAGGAAACAGGTGCAGTGGCTCATGCCTGTAATCCCAGCACTTTGGGAGGCCGAGGCGGGCGGATCATGAGGTCAGGAGATCGAAACCATCCTGGCTAACACAGTGAAACCCTGTCTCTACTAAAAATACACAACTTAGCTGGGCGTGGTGGCGGGCGCCTGTAGTCCCAGCTACTTGGGAAGCTGAGGCAGGAGAATGGCGTGAACCCAGGAGGCGGAGCTGGCAGTGAGCCGAGATCGCGCCACTGCGCTCTAGCCTGGGCGACAGAGCCAGACTCTGTCTCAAAAAAAGAAAAGGAAGAAAAAAGTTGGAGTTTATCCTGATGGTTGATTTGTTGTGCTGTGGGGTAGGTGGGGAGGGGTGTGAGTGCTTCCTTTTCTGGGCCACCCCCTTCCCTCCCGACAGGGGAAGCCCAGCAACCAGACGGCACGCAATGGTCCTGTGCACAGAATGCCTTTATTCCTGGGCTGGCGTCTGGATGTGGAGGACACAGGGACTCACAGAGTCTCCGGTGGTGGGGGAGGGGCCGTCACGCCCCGGGTCCAGACTGACCAGTGCCTGCGTGCAGAGACCAGGTGGGGCGATGGAGCCAGCTGGGGACGGTCGGGCAGGGACCCAGGCTGGTCTCCAAGTGCATGGGTCCGGATGGGGTCAAGTGAAGCCAGTCTGCAAGGGGCCTGCAGGGGCGTGAGGCCCCTGCGTGGGTGTGGTCAGTGTAGCCACTGGGCCTGGCCTTTCTCAGCGGCCCTGAGCCTGGAGTCTCTGCATCTGTAGAATCTGGCTGAGAATCTGCTGCACATCTTCATCCATCTGGCCCTAGGGTGGGGGGAGTAGAGGGGGACCCTGAGTGTACCCCCGACGGCTGCCCCAGGCCCCTTCACCACTCCCAAAGACCAAGCCAGCCAGGAGGGAAATGCACACAGGTGGGCTCCCACCTGCCACGACCCTCTCCCCAGGACCAGCCTCCCACTGTACAGAAGGGGAAACTGAGACCCAGAGAGCAATCATGGCCTGCCCAAAGCCACCGGGCACCCGGGAGCTGGCCACTCACCTGAATGGCGTAGAGGAGGTGGCTTCTGTACAAAGCCACCACGCTGGAGTGGTCCCTGGCAGCTTCCTGTAGGTATGAGGGAGGGGTGCTCAGAAGAACAGAGCAAAACACACCAAAAGTGCCCTTTGCACCCCAAGCCTGTATTTTGATGGACGACTGTTAAAATATGAAAAGATGGCCAGACACAGTGGCACACGTTTGTAATCCCAGCACTTTGGGAGGCTGAGGCTGGCGGCTCACCTGAGGTCAGGAGTTCAAGACCAGCCTGGACCAACATGGTGAAATCCTGTCTCTACTAAAACTACAAAAATTGGCCGGGCGCGGTGGCTGATGCCTGTAATCCCAGCACTTTGGGAGGCCGAGGCGGACGGATCACGAGGTCAAGAGATCGAGACCATCCTGGCTAACACGGTGAAACCCCGTCTCTACTAAAAATACAAAAAACTAGGTGGGTATGGTGGTGGGTGCCTGTAGTCCCAGCTACCCGGGAGGCTGAGGCAGGAGAATCGCTTGAACCCGGGAGGCGGAGGCTGCAGCGAGCTGAGATTGTGCCACTGCACTCCAGCCTGGGCAACGGAGC